TTAACAAGCTACCCAAATATTTAAAACATTTCACATTCTCCAGTTGTTTTTGGTCTATCTTTATTGTGACTGGGGTTGGTTGTCTCGAAATTTTCATTACTTTTGTTTTTTCCACATTCATTTCCATGCCATAGGGCCTTCCAATTTTGATTAGTCTATCAGTCATACCCTGTAGCACAGTTTCTTCCTTAGCCATTAACACAAGGTCATCTGCATATTTCACAGTTTGAATAATTTGCCCTCCTAATTTGAAGTCACCAAGCCCATCCAGAGCTTCCTTGGTAAGGCATTCGCTGTACAAGTTGAACAAAATTGGTGCTAAACTGCATCCTTGTCAAACTCCTCTTCCAATCTTCACACTTCTCGTCTCCCCTCTGTCCAGCCACACTCTAACTTTCAGATCCATGTACAATTTACTACTCAATCTTCTTTCCTGCCTATCGATACCGGTTTCCTTCAGGATCTGCATTAATTTGGTCCAATTTACACGGTCAAATGCCTTCTGCCAGTCTATAAAGCAAGCACACAGTTCTTCAACTATCTCCGAAGTTTGTTCTGCTATAATTCTCATCATCCCAATTGCATCCCTGGTTCCTCTTCTAAATTCAAACTGATCCTCTCCAAGAATATCCTTTTAAATCTGATGATATATCAAGCTGAAGAGTTGGAAGGGGGCATCCCTATTCTTCCAAATTTTTCTCAGTAACATACTGTAGAATACATTAGGCTAGAAAGTTATAAGTAACTCTCATATACTAATTCCACCATGAATATATAGATGTAATTTAAGGGAAATGAATAGTGTTAACCAAATCTGTTGTTGGCTTATAGAAGGCACTCTTTTACAGAAGTATAAAATTTAATGGAGTAAGCCTCCGAAATGTATTTATTGAGAACAATAGTAGTGTATCATACACACGAGGTAAAAGGGAAAGCTATCCCTGTAACAGGCCGTGGAGGCTTATACAGTTGTGAGATGTCGATACTCCCACATTTTCTAGACATTTAGGTCACTGTTTTCAGCCTTACACTCTGGCGGCCCTTTACCCCCAAGAAGGTCCATTGTACTCATTTCTGTTGGGGGTTGAGTCAATCCCAGTGCCATAGAGCGGCTGTGAGGATTAGGTCAATTGAAAAATTCAGTAACCTCATCAGGAATATAGCCCGTAGCATAGTATGTCAACCAACTATGTTGCCGTGTGCCCCCAAATACTTGCAAGTAATATCTGAAATATTTGTTTGAACTGTTAACTTTAATGGCAGCAGGACATCATTGTAAGGATAGAGCTGGATCTTCTTATGTATGCTTTCAGGTAGGACTAGGCCAGACAATGTGTTTTGGAATTGGTGGTGATCCTTTTAATGGAACTGATTTTATTGACTGCTTGGAAGTATTCCTCAATGATCCGGAAACCAAAGGTATAATCTTGCTTGGAGAGATTGGAGGAGTGGCTGAAGAGAAGGCTTCTGAATACTTGCTACAGCACAACACGGTTAGTGAACCTGCTCAATTTTGATTTGGTCCTCGAGTCATCATTCCATGCTTTAACTCTCTAGACTTGATATTTGAGGTTCTTGAGGAAATAGGTGTGAAGACTATTCCACCGCATAGTCTGGTGAAGTTCAACATATCAGAGAAATGTACTTCCTCCTCTGAAAATGATGGCACAATCCTACAAAATGTAAGTATATTTCTACCCGAGTACATGGTGTCACATCCCAGAAAAGAGCAGCATTTTTCAACTATACACTTGTCACTCCAATCTATGAAGTTACACTGTGGTCCAGTGTCCAGCCAAATATGGGGTTAAAAGAAAGAAAGTGGTCTGCCTGGTTTCTCATGTTCAAGTTGGATGTCAGGCTGAGGTTTTCCTATGTTAAATGGACAAATCCACTGTTCCCCAGATAACCTTTAAACTGATCCTTCACTGAGTGAGGATTACCCAAAGTAGCATAATTCAAATATTTTTATGTTTTTGCTTCTCAGGGAGACAAAGCCAAACCAGTAGTGTCATTCATTGCTGGATTGACTGCACCTCCAGGCCGAAGAATGGGTCATGCTGGAGCTATTGTTTCAGGTGGAAAAGGCGGTGCACAAGACAAGATTAATGCATTAGAAAAGGTTTGTTACTTATATACAAAAATACTAAATAATAAGTAAACAGATGAGGTAGCGGCCTCCGTAGTCTAGAGGTAACGTTCCCACCTCATGACTCGTAGTACGCGGGTTCAAATACCTGGCGGAGGTCGTCGAATTTTTAAGGGCGGAAAAATTCAGGGAACAAGTCCTCCGGGAGGGACTTTAAGCCGT